GTATGGATTGGGATAACAGTTGTATGAGCCCCTAATAAAATGTTAAAAAAAACAAAAAAAAAACACACACACACACACACAAAAAGAACCAAGTAGCACTCCCCAAATTCGAGCTTACTGTATCTTTTTTATACCTGTAGGATTTAAAAACTAGAAGAGGGCTATGGTAGGGTCTAAAAGGACATGGCTTCCCTTCTGTTGTTTTACTCTGTGCTGTGACGAAATCCACATCCACGGATATCTCCTGTAAAAGAAAACAAAGATTTTATGGCACAAATTACATTAAAGTGAATTCCAGATTTTATAGAGTATGAAATGTTTGATCACCTGGCCACGGAAAACCTTTTCCTCAAGGCCTGTGGTAGTTTTTAGAATCAGTTGTTTTAAGCTGTCAGCTTTTGAATATAATTTTTGCAATTCACCGATTTTTAACCCTAGAAAAAGTTCTGGCTTTTCTAAATTATTTTTTGTAGGCTTGTTTATGCATTCTTTGTTAGGTGTGTCAGTGTGTTTAAGATTAGGTTTAGTAAAAGAATTGGATTCTAAGAAGGATCTTCTTCGTTCTCTGTTTGAACCAGACAAAATTTCATCATCACCATCATTTTCCTCAGAGTCCAGAGTTAATTTATCTTGAGTCAAATCATGAAGTGATGGCTGAGGTAAAGAAAATTCAGGTTCCTCTTCCAGAACCGTAGCAATATTTAGTTGTTCCTTTGCTTTAAGGGCACGGGCTTCTTTTAATTTCTGAATTTTCAAGGCGTATTCATATTCTAGCTTTTGCAATCGTCTTTTTTCCATTGCAATTAGTTCTGCTGAATGCTTTCTTGGACTTGAAATTGGAGAATTGTCCAGTCTCATCATTTTGTTTGGCTGAAGAAAAATAAGCATTTTACGTCACTGTGATATAAAAAACACTTTCTGGTAAGATATTTGTGCTATTGCTATTAAAATAAAGATGAAATATATATGTATGTATATATATATATGTATCTTTTAAAAGACTACAATGTCTTTTAAAAGCAAGTGCCACTCCCCCACCCCCGCCAGGAGGACAAACAACAGAAATGTGGCTAAAGGAAGACAGCAGTTGATGTAAGATATGAAATTAATAATAATTTATCATTTAGGTCATGAGCATGTGGGGTGGGGAGATGATACCAAGGGCTCAAATAGAATTATTTAGAAAATGAGGATGGCAACAAATGTATACAAATATGCACGACAGGACTGATGTATGGATTGTTATAAGAGCTATAGGAGCCACCAATAAAATGAACTTTAAAAATATAAAATAAAAGCAAGTTTTGATCTTATCCTCTTATCATTGGCAAGGGTAACTTTTGAGTTATTTTATACATCTCTCACCCTCAAACACATCATAAAAATTTCTGTTTAAGCCAAGATAGATAACTTTAGAAATAGTAACGTGAGTAATAATTCACTGAAGGTACGGGAAGGAAGAGTAGCTGATAGCAATGTTGACTACATAACTTTATTCAAGGGGACCGAATAACAGAATTGCTGGTGAACGGACACACTACACAGTGTTAAGATACAGCAAATAATAATAATAAACATAAAAATAAAGGTTCCTGAGGGGTAAAGTGGGGAAGGGAGGAGCTAAAGGGAAGCTGATATCAAAGAGTTCAAGAACAAAGAAAATATTTTGAAATTGATGGTATTAACAATTGTACAATTATGCTTGATTTAATTGAATTATAAGTTGTTATAATATCTCTAAGGGCTCCCAATAAAATGATTAATAAAAAAATCAATTAAAAAAACACCTGATTTCCAAGATACAACAGTTGTATAAGCAACTTACTCCAAGCCGATCTTGTTCCAGTTTACGTTTTCCGATTTCTTTACTAGCCACTGCTTTTGCTCGAGCAAGCTCTTCTCCATACTTTAAAGTCAGAGCTTTCTTAATTGTAACACGTTGCTGAACTTTGTGAATCTGAAAATACATGGGTAATTCTGAAAATGTAAATGAAAACTAGGCGAGAAAATACTTTCTTCTTAAAATAGCAGTTTTAGGGTATTCAATTGAAAATAAAAAATATTCCAATGTATCTCTCCACGAAAAGATATACATTACACATATATCTAGGGCTTTAGTTTATAGTTGTTTTGTAAAAAACTGGGCCCACCAATGTATAGTAAATACCAAACTACAATACTTTTAATTTTTTTTTAAGTATTACTTGTTCCTGAAGCTTCTTCAAAAACATTCTGTTGACACTGAGAATTTTCTCCGTTGCTTGAAGCTGTTCCGTAAGTTTTGTAATCTTTGTTTCAGCATTTCGAACAGATTCTTTCTTCCTAGCTTCTTGCTGTACCAGATTTTTTAAAACAGATTCATCTTTCATCAAGAGAATCCTAATTGGAGGAAAAATTACTTTTTGTTAGAAAACGTTAGTGACACCATCAATAACAAAAAACTGCATGGTATTTAGGTGGTAATTAATTGGGTATTTTTAACTTGTATGTTTCATTAGTCACACAAGCATTCAAATTGACATTGGCTACATATTAGGAAAGCAACAGCAGGGCTGATCTTTAAAAAAATTGAAATACTTAATACTGGATAATGTGACCTACAGCTGAAAAATTCCTAGTAAATGTTCAATACTGTAAGAAATGTCACTGAACTGTACGTGTGATTATTATTGAAAGGTTATCTAATTTACTTTTCACAATTTAAAAAAAGTTCAACCATGGCTAATCTGATCCTTACAATCAAGTACACTTAATTACCATATAATCTCTAACTTATGCTATCCAAAGGCAGGTGAACCAAAAGGGAAGTCCAACTTCTAAACAAGCAGACAGACATGTTTAGAATTAAGATTTTTTAAAATGGACGAAAAGAGCTATTGTAAGGCTATAATTTCAATATCTTTTAAACTATTGAATATTATGGTTAAAAAAAGAGGAAGCTCCTTCTAAAGTTAACAAAGAACTACCATATTATCTTGCAATTCCACTGGTAGGTCTATACCCACAAGAATTTCTAGCAGAGACTCAAACATATACTTGTACACCAATGTTCATTGGAGCATTATTTAAATTTACACTGGACAAAAGACAAACAAACCAAGTGTCCAGTAATAGATGGATTAAAAAAACATGGTACACACATATAATGTATTTCAGTCATAAAATGAAATTTCTAAGATATGCCAAATATGAATTAACCTTGAAAACCTTATGCTAAGCAAAATAAACCATACGCAAAAGGCCTAACATTTCTATTTCTTTTATATGAAATACTTACAGCAGGCAAATTCACAAACACAGAAAATATGAGACTAGATTAGCAGTTACCATAGACTGTGGGTACGGGAAAAGGAAGTTATTGTTGAAGGTACAGAATTTTACATTTTATCGTATTTTTAATGAAGCATCTTTCCCATAAAAATAACATATTTAAATAGTCACAATTACTGATAGCTAAAATGATCAGAAAATTAGAGAATGTGTTAAATGATAAACAATGAATTGGTTTTTTTTGGTTTTGTTTTTGTTTTTTAAACATTTTATTAGGGGCTCATACAACTCTTATCACAATCCATACACACATCAATTGTGTAATGCGCATTTGTACATCGTTTCTCAAAATGAATTGTTTTTTTAACTTTTCGTTTGCTATGAAAAGTTCTAAGAGAAATGAAACTGAAAGAATTTATTTCAACTTCTTTTCAACATATATAATACTATTTCTCTTATAATTTTGATGAGTTACAAATGCAAAAGTATTCAACTGGGTAGATAATAACAAATTATGGATAATACTGCTAAGAAGTGGAATTCCAAAGTACTTCATTTTATTCATTTGGAACCTGTGCATAGACCAAGAGGCAGTCATTAAAACAGAACAAGGGAATACTGCATGGTTTAAAATCAGGAAAGGTGTGAATCAGCATTATATCGTTTTACCATACTTATTCATTCTCTTATTCTGAGCAAATAATCCATGACGCTGGACTATAAGATGAACGAACCATTAAGATTGGCGGAGGAATCTTTAACAATCTCAGATACAGAGATGAAACCACATTTCTTGCTGAAAGGAAAGAAGACTTGCTGCATTTACTGATGAAGAGCAAAGACGACATCCTTTAGTATATATGGATGATACTTCAATGTAAAGAAAACCAATGAAAAAATAATAATTTCTAAATTGGCGAGGGTTTGTGAGGGAGGGAAGGGGATGAGGGAGGGGAAAAATCAGGAGCTGATACCAAGGGCTCAAGTGGAGAGCAGATGTTCTGAGAATGCTGCTGGCAACAAATGTACAACTGTGCTTGACACAATGGATGGATGGATTGTGATAAGTTGTACGAGCCCCAATAAAATTATTTATTTAAAAAAAAATAAAGAAAATCCTCAACAATGGACCAATAAACAACATCATGATAAATGAAGAATTGAAGTTGTCAAGAATTACATTCTATTTGGGTTCACAATCAATGCTCATAATAGCAGCAGCCAAGAAATCAAATGACGCCTTGCCAGAAGAACAAACAAATGTCTTTGAAGTCCAGCCAGAATGTTTTCTATAAGTGATGACGGCAAGGCCTTCCCTACCGCAGCCATGTTATCAGGAGGTGACCAGTCCCTGGAGAAGGTCAAGGAGAGGGTCAGCAAAAAAGAGGAGGACCCTGAATAAGACTGGCACAGTAGCTGCAGCAGTGAGTTCAAACAGAAAACATTGTGAGGATGGTATCGAGTTGGATACTGTTTGGTTCTTCTGTACAGAGGGTTTACTTGAGTCAGAACTGGGTGGACAGCATCTCTAACAGTCACTACCGTATGTCATGAAGCAATTATTCGGGTTTCTAACACCAAAACAACTTTAATCACAACATGCCATATTTTAATTGACAGCATGCTTTCTGAGTGCACAAAATAATGGCACATCTTAGATGTTATGAAACATGGTAGGTAGCTCAAGAGAAATAATAACCAAGACCAAAGGCATTTATAAACACTGTTACATTTTATTTTGCTCTGGATATTTAATATCCAATATCTTCTTATTTGGAAAACAGAACAAACATTATAGCCCTTTTCTTTATTAACTATGAATGGATGAACTTCCTGAAGCTTGTTTTAAAAACCATTAAAATTCCCTAAGTACTATTGATAGTGAGAATTCAACATTAAGGGTAATTCACTACTCCAATCACTTTGTATAGTCAAGGCCTGAAGTTTAAGAATTAGTCAATTAGTTATTAGAAGAGGTTAGGAAAAGCCAACCTTTTCACAGAACCTTCCCATTTTATTTATCTCTAAAAGGGCCGGCTTTCAGTTGAAGAACTGTTCGTGTTAATTAAAACCATTGTGCTTTTCCATCATTTAATGAATTTCTGCTTGCTCTTGAGATGAAAATAACACATCTATGTAATTATATCTATCAAGCAGCGGCTCTACATGTATACTAAAGTAAAGCTGTACCTCAAAGCATTTTGAAACCCCCTGTGACCAACACAGTTTTATAAAACATAAGTTCCTATCTTTGTACTTTATGATGCCATCATAATGCAAGCACACATTTTATTCACCACTCTCACTACCAGTGAGTTGATTCTGACTCATGGCAACCTTATAGGACAAAAAAAAAATGCTTCCATTGAACTATTTTTTTAATGTCTAAAGTTTTAAAGAAAATTTCAAAAGCGGAGTTTCAAAAATGTCTAACAATGGATGAACCATACATAAATCTCAAGGGGACATTTCTCCTTCAAAGGCACAATTTTGCTTGGTAATTTATTTTAACATTCTAGTAATATAATGTATATAAATAATCATTCAAAAAAGAGATTTGTCATTTTACCAAGTGTTCAAAATAAGAATTTTTAATCTTACAGCATGTTTAATAATGACATGCATCACAAAATTACATCCCCCTAATGAATGGACAAGTAGACAATAACAGTATTTACTCAAATGGGAAGCTCACCTATGTTTTTTAAGTTTTGCTTCTGCATCCGTAACCTGCTTAGTAACCATTGCTATTCTGCCAATTCCATCAATTTCCCCGTCAGAATTTGCTGGGGATGATGAACTCGTCTTCAGCTGGTCTGATTTAACCAAACGTTTCTCACGACTAAAAGGATTAATACAGATTCATTACAATACACAGTAAATTGACATTTAAAATGGAAACTTACACCATTTCATAAGGTAAAAATATGAATCATACTCATAACTTTAAAAGACCAAAATATATGATCCAAGTTGGCATTCAAAGTTGATGCTGTAGTTCTATGTGCTTTTATCTTTCTATAAGCTATTTACATCTCAATGCAGTCTTTAAGATTACAGATGATCATCTGGCTCCCCCACCTGGGTGAGGAAGCTAGAAAAAAATTCCCTTTGCATCTATGATGAAACTACATCACTCCCTAGTATCAATAAACTTTTTATCAACTAGAGGAAATTTTGAGAATAGCATGCACTTTTAAAGCTAATTACATAAAATACTACTTACTTGGCAATCTCTTCTTTTAGCAATCTATATTCAATTTTCTTTTCTTCAGGTAAAGCTTCAGGTGTTCGCATAGGATCGTTTTCTTTTTCGGATTTTGGGGGTACTTTCGGTTTTGATGCTTGCTAGAAAACATTTTAAGTCAACCAACTAAGTAACACCAGACATATATGGCAACCCAGTAGACACTTGTATTATCGTATTTCTTAATATAGGTAACTCCTGATTTGTAAAGTCAGGTAAAAAACTGATGTGTTTAAGATACAGTGAACTATAAGTACTGCCATTCTCCCCTGGTTTTAGTACTATGTACTATATGCAATACCAAGGATCTGTACAATTGTGTAATGTTTCAAAAGACAAAGTCTGAATTTATAAAGACACTGATAATAGAAGACAACAGGAATCTGACTTTATCAGAGCTGACTTAAGAGTTGTGAGAATGGAACCCTATCGTTAAGTCAGGATAACCTCTAACAATATATACATTCATTGTTATTTCCCTTTCCTATTTTTAAGGACAATATCGGCTGTTAATCAAGTTGCACAGTCCACAAATTAGTCAGCAGCTACAATTTGAAAAACATTAAACTATTTTTCACAACTGTTGCAACAGAAATACAACAGAACGATTTAAGTTTTATACTTTGATCATATACTTTAATAACTTATTGTCTGGTAATACTAATTTCAAAACAATAAATGTCCTAAGCATAAAAGACAATTATAAGGGGGTATCCCCCCCCGAAAAATGAAATTTTTTCCCCAAAGCTATGTACTTTTACTACCTCATCACCCTCAAAGTACTCTCAATTACACTTAATACATTTGTCAAATCTGCAATTCCATTATTGGAAGCCTTTTTGTTTTGTTTTGTAAACCCTTTCTCAAACTCCTCTGCTTGGATGGCTGACAGCATCTTTTTTTTTTTCTTCACCTCTTCTTCTTCAAGTTGCTGTCCTTTCATGCCCCTCTTCATTCGCAGAAACAGTAAGAGGTAGAAAGGAGCGAGGTCAAGTAAGTAAGGTGCATGGGGCAAGATAGGCATGCTGCTTTTTGCCAAAAACTGGTACACTGAGATGGCTGTGTGAGCAGGTGCATTGTCGTGATGGCAAAACCTGCCCCACCTCCCCATCTGCCAATAATCAGGCCTCTTTTGTCACATGCTGTTACACAATCTTTTCAGAACCTCTAAACAGAAAGCTGATTAAGTTTGACCTGGTGGTATGAAGTCAAAAGTCCAAATGCAGTACAAGTCCACATTTTCATTCATTCGGGAAGTTGACAGACATCCAGAGCGAGGTTTGTCATCAAATAGACATTTCCTTTTTTTTCATTTCACCTTCTTTGATATGAGAAAAATACTTGTACACTTGAGTTTTCCCACAGTGCTGTCCTTATATGCTGTGTTCAACATCACAAAAGTTCTGTGCCATTTTTCCCAAGCAGAAAACAAAATTTCACAGCAGCACACTACTACTCTTTTAAATCGGCCATCACGAAAAATGATGTTTGAGTAAAACTGCTTATACAAAAAAATTCACTATGACCAGAGGGACTCTTCTCAGGCAACGTCACTGGGTGCACTAACTGAGAGCAAGTTGCTTGTTGTTCGCCTAGAAGGAAAAATGTGTGCTACAAAAGCTCCGCTCTGCCCAGCATAATTCTGGGGTTTTTTGGGTACCCATCGTATATTTTGTATTATGAAAAAAGGGACTAGTTGTTATATCTAAATTTATACATAATGCAATGTATACAAAGGGGGCTTCGAAAATGTAGTCCAAATATTTAATAATCTTTTAGTTCTATTTTCTAAAAACTTTTGAAGCCTCCTTGTATAATCTTAACACCACATACTTAAAATAATTCCCTAACTCATGAATCAAAATATGTTTAAAGTATAACTTTCAAGAAATAAACTTAAAGTCTGCACAGACATGGTCTTCCCTTTTCCTTCTTGCACTTACCTCAGCAGTCCGTCTTGCTTCTTTGATCATGGACTCTAGTCCACCAAAAACACTGTTTGTGGACTTGGAAGTCTCTGCATCAGATTCGCTATCATCTGAATCATTTAGTGTTACAACCACTGACTTATGTTTTGGAAGCTGAAAAGAAAATATATTTGCTTAATAAAAAAAGTCTCTTATTTTCTAAGTTACACCAAAATTAACAGCATGCTTGCCTAAGTTACTTAACCTCTTTGGATTGCAACTTGCAAAAATAATAATGCCGAAGCACAGTTTATGGTTCCCTCTAGTTACAGTACATATTTGATTTTGTCCCCTCCAATAGCACTAACTATATGAAAAGAAAATAATCTTTCAAGAAAATACTACAATCATCTTGCTAATTTTTATTTTCTTTCTCTAATTAATCATGGTGCCATCTAAATGAACTAATTCTTTTACAACAAAATAACATTTAAAAATAACTCTACAACAATTAAAATCTTTTCACTTTTATAGTTACATATAAAGAGTTAGTGAACAAAGCTGGCTTTTTAACAGAGGGTTAAGATTTCAATTTGGTTTTGCTCTATGTATTATATTCAAATCATAAGAAAATAAGGTGAAATGAAACTTGCCATTTCAAGCTCCTAAACACTGTTAACATCATGATTATTTTCCACTATAGTATACTCAGTGATAAGAAAATATAAGCAAAATAAAGACCCCCCCAAAATCAAAAATTACAATTTGCTAAAACTGACTCAAAAGAAGATAAGCAATCTGAAAAAAAACTAATTTCTTGAGAGGAGGTTAGGGTAGGGTTTGAAGAAACGGCAAGTAGGTTTAAATATTTTTGTTTTTACCGAGATCACAGTCCGTGGAAGACGAGGTCCTCTGTGAAACTTTGGGTTCTGTATCCTAGGCTGCGATACTGTATTAATACTGACTACTGATAAATTACTTCTTGGCACAGGCTGTGAACTGTTCAGAACTGGAGGTGAAGGTGGGTCGCTATTACTAGATGCTTCCTGAATAAGTAAAAAACAGAACACATTTAAAAATTTTAAAAACCTTCTATAATCATTAAAAATCTTGAACAAACTAGTATTAGACATACTCCTTTTTTCATCTTTGCTGAAAAGCCCAATGAACCTCCCCCAAACAATAAAATACAGGGCTAACCTAAAACTAAGTTCAATGGCACCACCTACAGGTCCAAATGCCTGAATTACCTCTGGTTTAAAAGCTCTCTTATTCGCTAGAGATTTAAGCAGCTCTTCTCGAAGCAGCATCTCCTCCTCCTCTTCTTCATCTGCAAAAGGTGGTTTTGGAGGCTGTTCTGGGTCTTCTGGTGGGAGAGGCGGTAGAGGTGGTGGAGGAGGTAGAGGTTCAAGAGAAACACACAAGCCTTCCACATATGGCTGGTTCAAAGAAGGAACTGACTAGTTGTTTTTAAAAAAGAAGACGTAATCACTAAATTGCAAGATTTTCGCTCCAAATGCTTATTTAGGATATATTAAATTACAAAAAGATAAAATTTAGGTTAATTATTTTAACTCTAAGATTAATGAAGTATATTTTGTAAATTTCAAAACCCAGATTCCAATCTTAAAACTTAAATTATCTTTGCAATTACAAAATGACCACACCAATACTTGAACTATTTAATTTATGAACAACAAAGTAACTATAAAGTCTTTTTATGTTCCCATTCGTATGTCCACTTAGCAAGTCAAAAGACGCAGAAATCAAGTTATACAGGGTATTTCCCAACAAACCCACTGCTGTTAGGTCTTCACAGCAATGCTACAAAATAGAGAAATGCTCCATAGGGTTTCCAAAGTCATAAATCTTTAGTAAGCAGACTGCCACATCTTGTTCCTACAGATTGACTGGTAAATTCAAATTACGAACTTTACCCACTGTAACACCAAGACTCACTTTCCTCTAGTTACTACCTCGAAACAAGTAGACCTATTGAGAATCAGGAGCACAAAATATTTAAGCAAAATTCTTAAGTAAATTTTTTTTGGTTTTCTTTTTTAAGAAATTATCCACAAATAAAATAAACAGAAATATCATAATTTGGAATAGAGTTTGTTATTTTCCACTCCTCAAAAGAAAACATCTCTATTTTCTCTCTCTTGTCTCTCTGTTCTAAGACAACCACCCACTCCCTAGGGAGACACTAGGCATTTACCTAGGAACTGGATGAAATGACAGAGCACCTCTCTAGGTCCTAAAAATAACTTCAGATCGTTTACTTTATGATTCTCCCAACAGCTAGGACACCCCCGTTTATTTGTAAATGGGGGATGGGTCATTTATCTTAAGAGGAAAATCGGGGGAAAGAAATTTACTTCCACAGGTTACATGTTTGTCAAATAAGACATTAATTTTTCAAAGCATCCTTAAAATAGTAGCTAATTCTTACTCTGCTTTGGGTTAAATTTTCTGAGATACTACTTGCTGAGAAGCGCG